TAATAATAATAATATTTTAATTGTTATCAATAACAACATCATCGTCATCAACATTATAAGTGTTGACGACGAAATAAATAGCATCAGATAATGCCGATGTAACAAGATTGTCAGATGTGGTAGATAATAACTGGCTGTAAAAATTTTCAAAAAAAAAAATTATTTTATGAATCGTGGGCAAAAAACTGGGCGTTGGTCATTTCGAATGATTCGTCAATCGCAGCGTCATCCGAAATTTCTTCAACTTTCATGTTGCGGTCATCATCATCTTCACTGTCATCATCATCATCACTATCATTTTTGTCATCATCATCATCATCATCTCAAGAAATACTTCTGACCTTAAACACGCAAGTCAAGTTACTACTCGGTAATTTTTAAATTCGTTGTGCAGCGCATTCCATCCAGATCCAGTATTTTTATCTTACTATTGTTGACCAATAACTTTTTCTCCACGAGTTACATCGCATTTCCGTTAATTTCAATCTAAAAATAAAATATTTTAACTTTGATGTCAAATAAAATTTTAAAATAATTAAGAGCAAATTATGAAGATCGTTGAATTTTCTGGCAATAATGTTTGGTAATGTACTTTGTTTTATTAGTTTAAACGAAAAAAAGAGAAAAGAGAAAAGAATAATAGAAATAAAAAAGATGGAATATGCAATGTAACAACACCGGCATTGGAATTCAATAAGGAACCTGACACAATGGTGTCCTGATTGGGTTTAAAAATAGTAGCATCACTGCTCACCTGATTTTTTCCAACTTGCGTATTTGCGAGAAAATGTTGGTGGAATTAACTTTTATTTACGACCCAGAGTATTGAATAAAAAACAGCCCACGAACCTTCTTATCTTTTTTAGGTGTATGTTCGGTGTTAAATGCAAACTTAAAATACCAAATTTGTTGAAAAAACAAATAATTTTATTTTAATGAATTTGTAAAGCTTTCTTGTCTCTTTGATTGATGGTTAGTAAAATTTCATTTGAAACTGTTTGAAATTAAAAATTAATGAATTATGTTATAAGATGATCATAAAAATTAAGTGCGATGAAATTTTAATTCTTCATTTTGTTGCATAAAAAAAAGAATAAACTTTATTTTTATTTTCTGTATAAAAATTGTTGACTTGGAAATCAGTGGAACGCCAGCTTCGGCAGAATCGGCAAATGTTTTGTAATCAGCTGATTGGTGGATAATTATTTTCTGTCACGTGTTTACGAGACTAATTGATGCGTCTATATTGGCACCTTCAATCTTTGTTCTACCTCTGGTTTTTTAAATTTGTAATAATACATCAGTGAATATTTTAACCTATGACTTTTTTTACGTCCAAAATATTTTGTTAGTTTAAAGAATTTACGGCTATTGTTATTATTTTGTTTTGAATAGATGTTTAAATGAACGTAAAAACGGAGAAATAAAAATACACCAGCTTGAACCGCTTTATTTTTGGTGGTAATTTGTTTAATGTTTTTCTAGCGCTTATTTCCCTAGCGTCAGTTCGTCTAAACACATTTCATGTATACCATTTCATTTAAAGTTCATTTCGTAAAACTTAGCCGCAATAATTATAAGCCACCAAAATTATCGGCGATAACCATTTCAAAAAGATTTGCAGATAGCTAAACCGATGTTGGTAATATTACGCCATACCAAAGTTGTGCCTTTAGGAATAGTAATATTTTATTTTGTAAAATTTCCGTCTACTTTCATTTTTCATTTTACAAACTTGAAGCGTTTTCACAATGTTAATACAAAGTGAACTTCATTTCAAAATATTGTTATTTGCACACTGTGAACTTCCGCGCGCTGCTAAAAGGAATTTTGCCTCAGCTATTCTGTTCTATTGCATATGCACGTACGAACCTATGTTGGCTCTTAGTTTTTATGTATTTTTTAAAGAAATAATTCGAAATACCTTACTCTTTCTGTACTTGGTCATTCTTTACTAAACATGTATGATATTTTCAGGCGTCTGCATGCGTATCATGTATTTTATTATTATTGTTGTTGTTGTTGTTTCAATAATACCATTCCTATTGTTTTCGCAGTAAAAAAAACTTTTATTAGTATTATTATTGCCATCGTGAAAAAGAACAAAACAAACACGTGGGTTTTTGTTTGATGATATACTTTTCAGGTTTGTTCACGTGAAATTAACAAGGCAGCAGTCAATATTGGCTTTTCTGATGTTCTTTTTCTTGGATTGTTTAGTTCTAATGTTTCAGCTCTTTCTCCATTGCATTGTTGCATTGTCTTTCGCTAGGTTATGTTCACACACACACATACACACACACACACACATATATATATATATAATTAGCTTTCATTGTATTTTGTTTCCACGTAAACCTTTCCGTGTAAGCAAAACATTATCGTCCATTAAAAAAAATACAAAAAACAGTGAAAGCCTTTATAAAATTATCTTTAATTTTTCCTCATAACTATTATGGCTTGCATGCATCATAATCAAAAAATTGTAGCCAGTAGAAAAAAAAAAAAAATTATTTTTATAATTTTTTTTCTATTTGTTCATGCCACCTCAGCTGGAAGCGCTAACATTGTTAGCCAGCAACGAAGCATTTTGTTATTGTTTGTTTAATCAAGTATTTCACTTCCAATGACTGTTTAGCTGGTTGCTGGAAAATATTTTTTGAACTTTGTGGTAAAAATTGGTTTCTAAATGCAAAAAATTGTCCAAAAACCAAGAAAAGGACAAAAAAATCACTCATCTTCAACATTTCAATTGCAGGTTTTCATAAATGTTTGCTCTGCGATTATTTAATTTTAAAAAATCCGCAAGATTAATTAAAAAACATTGTTCAATTTCAAGACTAGACAAATTGCAACATCAGCAACAACACCAGCTACAACATCACCAGCAATCGACAGAAATGATATGAGCAACACCAACAACAACACAGTGCCAGTTCAGTAGCATAGATCACACACACTTGAACACTTTGGTTTTGAAATTTTCATACTTTCAACATAAACAACGACAACAACAACGGCGGCAGAGTAGTAACACGAACGACAGCATGTAGTGACACGTTGAAATCAACAACTTCAGCGTCCTTACTCCAAAACACTTCACGTGTCTGGGGATGATAAGGGACAGGAAAACATTTCAACCGTCACGTACTGAGACAATCATTTGTTGGAAGTTTGTGAAAATTTTAAAATAAAAATAATTGCCACCACCACCAACAACAACAACAACTTCAAATCATCGTATTTAAAAGTTCAAAAAGGGGACAAAATATTTTTCTTACCAGGCACGTAACAAACCAATCTAAAACAAAACATGGGTGCTTCATACAGATGCAATACAACAATATCAAGGTAAATTGCATCAATAGTTTCATAGCAACAACAAACGTCAACTCAAAAACCATCAACAACAAACATCATCAGCAACGAACACATAGACAACAACGACGTAAAGTTAAACAGGCAGTTAAACAAAACGCCAATAATAAGGCATAGCTGTAACATCCACAGCAACAGCAACTGCTGCAACATCAACAAAAGCAGTAGCAACAGCAGCTGCAAGCAACATCAACAACAGCAGTTGCGACATCAACAACAGCAGCTGCAACATCAACAACAACAGCTGCAACATCAACAACAGCAGCTGCAACGTCAACAACATCAACAGCAACAAATGGATAGTGATCTGGAATTGAACAAAAAAGCAGGAGCAGCAGCAACAGGAGGAGGAGGAGGAATAACAACCCCCCCGCCCCCCGTCATCCCTGTTAAAGCAGATAACGCTTATCATGGTGAGCATCGATTGTACTCATTCCTGCTTCTGCTACAATGTCCTTCTTGTCATCAAAGTTGATGTTTTTGTTGTTGCTGTTGTCCGTCATCAACATTAACGTCATTTTTGTTTTAGTGTTGTAAGCAACATTAATGTCATTTTTATCATCAATTCTGTTATTGTTGTTGACATCAACAATAGTGTCTTTGTTAATGTCACCAGAGTTGTTTGTGTTGCTGTAATCAACATTGATGTTGTTGTTGTTGTCATCGCCATTGTTGATGTCATCATCAACGTTGTTGTTGAATAGTTGTAACTGTTGTATTGTTGTTACTGTGATTGTTGATAAAAAAAATTGGTAGTACGGCACAATTAATAATTGATTGTTTCGTCGGCTTATGATTCCAATCGTTGCACGTACCTCAGCGGTGGAAGGCTTTCATTGCTGTCCTAAGCATTTCACTCAATTTCAAGAAGAAAAATTTGTTGAAAGATGCATCAAACAATACACGAAAATGGTTTCAGAGAACCAAAAAAAATATTTTTAGCCCACGACAATCAGTAATGTATGAATATTTGAAAAGCGTTATACGTAAGGTATAATGCTTTTTACTTTTTAAAAAAAAGTATAACGCTTTATACAGTTTGAAGTGCGTGCAAGTGTGTGTATGTGTGTGAGGAAGGTATGTATGAAGTACCCTTTAATTTTTTCTGTCTTTGCAAGAGCTATACAATGCAACCTCGTGTTGACGGTCGTGAGTGAGTGACGCTAGCTATGAAGATAAGGAGTGACGAAGTTGGATGGTGATGGCGAACACGATGACGATGATGATAAAGATGATGATGATAAAGATGATGATGATGGTGACAAGGGTAGTGTTGATAGTAGTATAATAAAAATGAAGAAAGTGTCGATTGGAGATGTCATTGATATGATTGAAAAAATTAATGATGATGAGATGATGATGATGATGGTGATAATGATAATGGTGTTGTTAATGATGACGATGGTGATGAAGATGATGATTATGATCTGCCGATCTTTATGAAAAGTGCAGTTTGTTGAATTGATGCTGAATTGAATTGAAGTGAATTGAATGAGTCCGAGTGTACGCCATGTATCACAAACGTATGTCGGATTTTGTTTAGGCATTTTATTGATGTTTTGCACTGAAATCACAGTCCACAAAATATTTTAGGTCAGATCAGATTTCAAAAGATGGAGTAATGGTTGTTTTTTAAATAAAGTTTTACAGTGCATACACAAGTGGCCTCTTGAGTGCATTCAAATTTTAAAATTAATTTTACATCGTAGTATCATTTTTATTGTAGCATTATTTTTTTAATAGAAATTATTTTTACAAACTCAAAGCAGATGCAAGCGCGTGTAAAAAAATATCAAGCCATCACAGTACATTACATCTAGAAAAACATCCCACCACATGTAAGAAATACAAGTTCACGTTTATCGTTGGTTTCTTAGGAGAAGGTTCGATCAAAAAATGAAGCTTCGTTTGAATATATCGGCAATTTCCAAGAGGAACTAAGATTATAAATAGCCGATTTAACCGCTCGCTTATTTGGCGGATTTGCTGATGTTTAGACGATCATTATGCTTTGATTTCTGCTTCTTTCCTTACCTCAATCTTTCCACAGATGTTAGCGTTTCTACCATCAGCAATACTTGTGCTTATGTACAACTGGTGCTATTGTTAACAATACCTACAATAAACATATACCAGCATACGTACCTACCCACAATTCTTTTCGTTTAGTTGACATGTTCTAAATATTGTTTCTGTATTGTTTTGCGTCTTCGTCGTAATGCATCGATTAATTTTTCTGTTCATGAAAAAATTTTAATTTCATTTCCGTACAATGCATTATTATTTCTTATTTGTTTCATTCAATTATGTTGTGTTCAGTTTCTGCTAGGTAGCGCTTTTGAAATTCGTTTAATTAGAGCTCCATAAATATTTCAATAATAATAATAATAACAATAATAATAATAATAATAATAATAATGATGATGATGATAATAATAAGTACATTTATACCTACAAGTACATGCATTCCAACAAGTACAGACGTAGTACACAGCACCTACAAAGGTATTAGCATGAGAAATAGCCGTACTTTAAATCAAGAGCAAGCAAAAAATTTCGGCATGTTTCCGCATACAAAATTTGTATTTGGGCAGCCCAGTGTGTGAATGAATGCCTCACCTTTCATTATTCTACACAATGTACACGAGGCAATCTTTTATTCCTTGTTCAATGCTTCTTCTCTAGTTAGTTATTTTCAGGTGCTCGCAAATTCTTCTCGCAATTTTGTTGAAAAACATCGTCTGCTTTTCTTTCAAAATTTACTATTGCATTTGCATTCAGTCGCTGGCTGTTTGAATGAAATGTTCTTGGTGTTGAAATAAAATGTTGTTGGTATTGAAATAAATTGTTGTTGATGTTGAAATAAAGTGTTGTTGATGTTGAAATAAAGTGTTGTTGATGTTGAAATAAAGTGTCGAGGCTGTTGAAATAAATTGTTGTGGCTGTTTTATGATCAAAGCCAGTGGTTGTAATTTCATGATCTAATTATGTCAAATGGCTCAGGCAAAATAAAAACACACCAATTTTTTAAGTGTTTTGACCAGAAAACAAATGCTATATGCTGATTTGAAAGCAGGCTATTCCTAACAACAGGATTATCGAATGCGCGCCGGTAACATGTTTTATTATTTTCATCCTTTCTCTCTCTCTCTCTCTCTCTCTCCCTCTCTTTTTTTCTCCTTCTTTTTTCCCTTTCCTCATGTTTTGTTCTTTTTTAGTTCTTTCTTTCTTCGATAAAACCGATAAGTATCAAATTAGATATCAAATTTGAATTAAATACTGAACAAACAAGGAAGACTACAAATTAGGGACGTTTTTGAAACCTGGTGGTTCTTTAAATTCCCTTGCTATCAAATTTTTGTTTAAGTTGTGCCACCACTTTTTATTATCGAGATCAATTTCATCAGATATTTTCAGTCAACGCCGTCATAAACATCCTTATCTTTCTCGCTTGAGTAATTTTCTATAAATATTTTTCTTTTCTTTTTTTCTCATTAAAACCCAACCGGAAAACCGTGAGAGGCAAGCAGGGCAGCATGATGATGACGTCATGATGTTTGTATTTAATTAAACGTAATGCAGATGTTTGATGTCCCAAGGAGAGTATGTGCATATCTGCCCGTCCGTCTGATTCCCTCTTGAATTCACTTGGCTATTTGCTGATCATCAATATGCCAACTCATCAGCACACTACTTATCTCTTCATAAATCCACTATCGACCCGATTACATTGCATGCAATATACATGCACCTCTCTCTCTCTCTCTCTCTCTCTCACGCACACGCACACATACACGCACGCACGCACACATATGATATAAATTACACACACACACACACACACACACATATATATATATATATATATATATATATATATATATATATATATATATATATATATATATGTAAGCACTACAACATTTTTCTAATATAGCCAGCTATCATTTGCACAATAATCAGTTTTACAATGATCATGATCATCTTCATGATCATCTTCATCATCATAACAAACGACATCACCATCACCACCACTACCATCATCATCATTTACTGACATATCATTGCTAACATCACTACCGTTATAAGTGTAATCATAGATGATAACAGAACTAGTCAGCCTTCTTGCGTAACCTCACGGTATGAATACTACTACTACTGCTACTCCTACTACTACTACCACTACTGCTACTACTACTCCAACCACTATTACTGCTGCCTGCTACTACTACTACTGCTACTCCTGCTACTACTACCACTACTGCTACTACTACTACTACCACAACTACTACTACTACTACTACTGCTGCTGCTACCACCACTACTACTATTACCACACTTACTACTACTAGCATAATAAAAGTAACACTACATGGTAACAGTAGCATTAGATAACCAAAATATTTATGATCCCATGTTAAAGCACGAAAGCCCACGTCAATATGGCTTTTATAATTAACAAAACTAAAAAATACATAATAAATAAAACGCACGAATAATAATAATAATAATAATAGTAATAATAATAATAATAATAATAAATAATAATAATAATAATAATAATAATAATAATAATAATAATGGTGATGATTATAATAATAATGGGAACATCATTTTATTTTCATCATAAATCACACGTTAAAAAAATGATGAAAATAAAATGATAATAATAATAATAATGATAATAATAATAATAATATTTAGTGGCAAACCTACAAATACGGCGTCCTTAGGCCAGACAAACTCAACCACCCCGCCATCCATAGCTTACAATATGTAATTAACTTTTGGTTTTTATTGCTGTTAAATGAACGACATTTTATGCGTATAATCGAAACTGCACTGCACCAAATAGCCCTGAAAAAAATTGTTTAAAAAATGAATTTGTACTCAAGGCATAATCGCTGGCAGCTACTGTAGACGCGATCAGAGCCACAACTATCAGGCAGTCTAAATGGTCGTACAAAAGTTACCGGCTTCTTGCTTAACTATGATTTTCATTCTTTACAATCTTTTGTTATGCCAAATTTTTTTTATCTTCATAATTTGCCGGCTTTTGAAATTTCCGATTTAATTTTTATTAATTTAATTAAAATTTGTAATCTCCAGGCTTATTGGTAAACACTGGTAAACATAAAAAAACAATCATAATAAAAATAACAATAATAATAATAATAAAAATATGTCGCAATAAAATTGACACTTATCTTGATAATTACATAAATTATAATAATTAATTCTTAATTAGATGAGTGACTGAAGGTGAGGATGAGAGTTTGTGGTGAGAATGATGTCAATAATTTTAATGGGAAAAATAAAAAAAAACTATTACCAGAGTCAATTGAAAATATTGCTTGCTTCCTTAAATATTTTTATCATTGATGTTACTATGATTATGGAAACAAGTTCGGCCTGGTCTCAAGCTGTATTCCAAAGTCGATGAGTTCTAAAAATTCTACCGAATCATAATCAGTGAGTGTCAACAATAAACAAAACTGTCCTGGAAACCCTTGTACCGTCTCCGTATTATGAATAAACATTCGAAGCTAAAGAACAACTTTCTAGCTTCTTCTGCTTTTAGTCATATCCCATCACATCTCAGGTTCTGAAGCGCAAGACAAAAGTGGTTGTATGGCACCTGCATATTACCATTTGATATTTGTACTGTGAATAATTAAACTATAAATTAACTGAAAATTATCTAGTGATAATAATATGAATTTTTAAATAATTAACTATTTATTATGGTTATGAAGAAGAAGAAGAAGATGATAATAATAATGAAGATGATGATGATGATGAAAAAGAAGAAGATGATAATAAGGAAGATGATGATGATGATGATGAAAAAGAAGAAGATGATAATAATGAAGATGATGATGATGATGAAAAAGAAGAAGATGATAATAATGAAGATGATGATGATGATGAAAAAGAAGAAGATGATAATAATGAAGATGATGATGATGATGATGAAAAAGAAGAAGATGATAATAATGAAGATGATGATGATGATGATGAAAAAGAAGAAGATGATAATAATGAAGATGATGATGATGATGATGATGATGAAAAAGAAGAAGATGATAATAATGAAGATGATGATGATGATGATGATGATGATGAAAAAGAAGAAGATGATAACGATGATGATGGAGATGATGAGGGCAAGACGACGACGATGATGATGACACTGAAGATGCTACTGGATGACGATGTTAATGATGAAGTTGAATGATAAAGATGATGGCGACGACCTTAACGATGATAACAACCGACTCAACCGTAACGCAACGCAACCCACTAACACATTAACTCTCTTAAACACATCTCCCTAACACTCACTTACCTTCCTCCCCCCCCAACAACTACCCACCCAACTTCATTACTTCGTCGCCCTGGAGACAGTGGTCTTCTAACGTTATTGATGCAAAATGACGCCATCTGCATAATTATCATCATCATCATTACCATTATCACCATCATCATCATTACTCATCAACATAATCATTATCATCATTATTCTCATCATCATTATCATTCTCATCATCATCATCATCATTGTTTTCATCACCGTCACCATCGTCGTGCCCATCATTATCATCATCATCTTCATTATCAT